TTTTATTCAAACAAACATGCAAAATATATCTTTGAACTTATTTATTTTATAGAGAAGAAAACAAACGGTGTATTTGAACACTGTAATTGGGACAGTTGCCGATAATAACAAACACCAACACATTGATATTAGCGTTCTATGCCTCTAGCGGGTTTTTTTTCTAGAAAGTTCGTTGTCCTTTAGACAAGCACTCTGTCATGTAGAGAAAAAGTGAAAATGATTTGTAATGGTTTATCCTCATTAAACGATGGAATCAAGGTACGTACTTAGGTGTGAAGTTTGGCTTAAACAATAAAATTAATATTTTTTTCGTTCTAACTTCTTTAATAATTTCAAGTCATTGATTTATTTTGATGTCAGCTGTTTGCTGATTTAGCAACACATTCTCTTAACATTCTGAATTGATCAACATCACGGTAAAATAGGGCCTAGTTATAAAATATAAATTGTCCATGACCGCTAAGATAACAATGGTCCTTCTTTTAAACAGATCTTTCTATTTTCTTCTTAGCTCATCGTGGTTTTGTTTTTCTTCATCTTTTATTCCATATTTTTTTATTCATGTTAAGTTAATTTCATGCCTCAGTATACATGTCTTGTAAAATTCCATCCGCGGTTTTTTTAACTATATGCGGCAGTTTATTCATTTTTTTTGTACTTTATTTTCATTATGTTCCTCTTGCATTTATTTTGAAAACTGACAAAAGTTCCTACTTTTTTGCTTATGAAGGGGTTTCACATTAAAAAAAAAAAAAATAAAGCCCGATCCTATCGGAAGTATCGATGTTTTAAATCCGTTAAGACATAAAATGACTTTTAGTTAAAGAATTTTCATTCACCTTGACTCTCCTTTTAGGATTTTTCTAAATTACGTAGCGAGAAATTCATTATACATGTAATGAGATATAATTTCTTTATTTGCTCTCTTTTTATAGTCATAAAAGAAGAAGAAAAATGATATAAATCTTTTGACATTTATTTTTTTTTCTGAGCAAGAAGATCCTGGGCTTGATTGTATCTTAGATAATAAGTCTGTCCCGCAAGGGATGTTTGTTTTTTACGTTATATGTGGATGTCTGGTTGACCAACCATAAGTGTCTGATGCCTGCTTTTTAGTAATTAATTATATTGTCTTACAGTCGGCCTTGAATTTTATATGTTAAGACTTCGTGAAGGTAATTAATTTTGAGCATACATGTATATCATGATTACTTGTGGTATCTGTAATCATGAAAATGAAACAGAACTTGGCAGTTGAAGGTGATTTAACTGGACTGAACATTTTTATTGATATCAGTTTTTGAATAATGTATTCTAATTTTCTTTATTGTAAAGTTTCAATGCAGTTCTTGTTTTAATTTTTATGCATGCACAAAATTGAAATTAAATGTAGCTGCAAAATTAAAAAAAAAACTAGTATATATTACTAGTATTATGTTATTACTGACAAAATTATGTTCGAATTTATAATGTTTGCAGACAGGTGGACAAAAAATTCATTTTTTGTATTTCGTAAATTGGTTTTGTTTTCGAATTCGATCATGATTCACGTCTTTGATTTCCATGGCAAATACATGTTCTTGCATGGAATTTTTTCTAACTCTAGAGAAAAAGTATGCCTTATTTCTAATTTATTCTCCGTTTGGGAAGATTTAATTGCAAGGTTGGATTTTGTTTTTAGAGAGATCAGGGAAGATTTTTTAGGAATATATTTTCTGACTTGTGAAAACTTAAGTTGCAATAATGATCCAATGCTACCCAGGTATGTGAAGGTGTGTTGTAAGCATTGTGACAAATTTCAGAAGGTACTAACGAGGATATCACAGCAAGAATCAAAAAAGCCCTTCATGTGTTTGCCATCTTAAAACCAGTTTGGACCTTCTCTGATATGACCACTAGGAGAAATCTAAGGATCTTCATTAGTCATGTACAATTAATTTTACTATATGGATCAGAATGCTGGAAGCTCCGAGCGAGGAAACTAAGATTGTTTGTGAATTTCCCTACGGATCATTTAAGAGATATATGGCCAAAAGTATGACAGGACAGAAGATATTGTTGAGGAAATTGCAAGAAGGAAGTGGAGATGGGTCGGTCATGTGTTCAGAAAAAGACCAGCACAATACCGCTGGAGAAAGTATTATCTGGACGGTCGATAGCAAGAGAAAAAGGTGCAGGCCAAAGAAAACATGGTGAAGAACATCAGAAAGCGAGCTAAAAGCGATAGAGTTGACATGGAAGGCAATAGAAACAAAAGCAAAAGATAGGACTGGGTGGAGGGACTGAGAGGCTGCCTTATGTGCCACCTGGCATGAAGAGGACTTAGTAAGCAAGTAATAAGGATCCACCATAAAATGCTATTTTTATCACAGATCTATATTTGTGATAATTTTTTAAAAATATATATATGTATATATATGTCCCAGACTAACTAAACATAAAAATCATCTTCCCTGTTGCGACTTTTATCCTAAGTGCAAAATTTAGCAAATCATTCTGCAATATTATCTGATAAATGCAGTGTAATGTTGCATTGATTGTTTCATTTTCTGGAACTTTCGAGTCGAGTCTACGCCAAGATTTCTGCCACATTATAACAGATATAAATATAAAACAATTGGCAAGATGCTTTGGGAAATATTGCAATGTTGGATCAGAATGCATTCCTTTTAATTTTTCGCTATTTTGTCCAATACAGGGGCTCTGCTTTTAATTCTTAATGTCCTTATTCTTAATGTCCTTTCATCTTTCCGTTATATTGTTTCAAGTTCATTTAACTCAGTGTGTTTACATCCATTGAATATTATCTTCCTTACCTCTTAAGAAAACCATGGATGTTTATTAAAAACCTTAACGCCAGTAACGCCGTTAAGCAAGCCATCTGTATATTTATTTCCCCCCACAACATGTACAGATGCAACATTTCCATACTAACAAACCAAAGAAAACATTTACTTGTTTAAATAAATTCAAAAATTAAAATGGTCGATTTTGTTAAAAATATTGAAGGTTCAACTTTTTCACAATGTATACATGTATGTCTATGCACACTTTTTACTCACTTGGCTGTCTACGAATTTTTCCCTCATTTCTTCCATCATGACAAGGAGCACAAGGTGGGTGTGACGGGTTGACAAGGGATACTTCTCCCCTCACGGCACCCGATCCCACTCGGTTGTTTATTGATCTTCTCCAGATCTGTATTGTATTTATGGACTTTTTAAATTTATTACTGTTTGTTTTCTTCCTTCATTCACTTTATTCTCATTTCATACTTTAATTATGCCTTTTTGCTGAAGTTAAAATGCCTGAATAATCTTTCAAAATGTCAAAAAAAAGATTGATATAAAGAATTGAAAATCTTTATATTGAACAAATGACATGTATATAATATTACTTCATTTTCCCGAAATGTTCTTTTTTTTCATAAAGTTCAATCACAGATAGGGGTCACTGTATCTCTATGTCGAAGGTTTTACATTCAGTTCATTTACCTTCGTCTGTGTATGTGCAGGGGGTGATGAACGAGCGGGCGGAAAATACATGAAATATTAAAAGTCTATACAGACATAAGTATATGATTACCCAGTGTACACATGTGTAGTTAGTGGTCGTATCGTGATGAAGCAGTGGAAAAAGTTTTCAGAGAAAGTCTCAGGATCAAAATTGTAGCTTTGTGTAATTTTTGACGCACACTTTATAGAATAAAAGTTGTTTTTGAAAAACTAATGTTCGTAGATTCCATGGGTCACCATAACACCCCTTGTACGAAATAGTTGTAAAAATATAACGATTTAATTTTTTTTTATGTCCGAGGTACCCACGAAATTACATTCGCACATCATTGGTTGTCCACGAACATTGGCCACCATGAATTTTTAAAATGAATCCATAGTTATCAAAGATTTTCAGTAATTTCATTTATTTATACTGTATTATTTAATGAACTTTGAAGACAAATATTAATACAGATACTGACTTAACTAGCATGATAGAGAAGTCGATGTATTTTTGGTAGATTTAGCCCATCTTTAAAATGTTTGCATGCCTCTCCTCACTTATTGGGTCGGTAGGTAGCTAGGTGGGAAAGTCTTTTTCCTCACCAGAAAATTTCAACATATTTAATATTGAATGTATAAGAAGGATGAAGGAAAGATAAAATATTGTGTCCTGGAATGTAAAAAAAAAAAAAAAAGTATTGAGTCGCGGGACATTTTTAGTCAGTCGGTTGGAAGAGGGCATGCAACCAAACATTTTTTTTTTTTTATAGATGACCTTATTTATTATGATTCATTGGCATCGGAAGCAGAGTCTAAATACGACAACCCTATATTCCTATTTCATGTGGAGGGGTCTCGAACATTTTTCATAACCAAAATTTTTCCAAACACTACCACTTACCCTTTAGCTATTTGGACCTAAACTTTAACGTGCCTGTTGAAAGTGTGTGTGTGTGTGTGAGGGGGGGGGGGGGGGGACTACAATGTCTACATTGGCTATCTTTGCAAAAAAATGGGGGGACTAATTAAGCTCCCAATAGCCCCCCCCCCCGGTTCTGACGCTTATGTAATAAGTTGCACAGTAAATTATATCTATGTGGTATGGATTAATAAGTAAAGTGATAATTTACGTTCATTGTCCATGTATGTGCATGGATCGATCACTATTGATAACCTATCCTGTGCTATTCATTATTTATTTATTTTTTTTTTTTTTTCTTTGTATTCTGTATAAAAGCTTACCTTATCGTAAATTATAACTTTCACTAGAATTATAATGCACACTTTTATAACATTTGTATTTATAGCTAGGCAGCGATATAGGGCTAAGGAAACAACCGGTAAATATGAGTGGTGTATGCATGGTAGGCGCGTGGCTGCCCAATCTCATTGTACAACAGTCGAAGGTTTAATAATATTGTAGTAGATCAGCTGTTTGGAGACAGTATAGCATGGTTTATTCATTATGGCTTCAGGGCCTGTTATGTGAAGGTCGGAAAATTAGGGCACTCATTGAAATTGCTGATGGCCCATTTGTTTAAGAAAATTCTGCTTGTCTATCAAGGCTACCTAGAAGGAAACTTTTATTCGATCTGCAACTGTTTAGGTAATTAATGGTATTTTTACTTTTATTGCACCCTGCAAGTAATATATAACTGTAATATATTTCTATCAAATTAGTACTATTTAAACAATTGCGCATCCATCTGATAATACAGGCACGTAGCATCGTTTTTGAAAGGGGGCAGCCAGAGAATTTTTTTTTTAAAGATCTAAAGCAAAAAAAAAAAAGGGGGGGGGGGAAATTGCCCAAACTCGAAGAAGTGAGGGGGGGCAACCAATCTTTCAATGAAGAATTTCAATAGTAAAGGTACTGTTGGGAAAAAAGTGGGGGGGGGGGGCAGCCCCCCCCCCGGGTCCCCTCTGTTGCTACGTGCCTGTAATAATTCGTTAATTCGTTATTTATCAAATATTTTTTACATTCTCATCGATGATGCTATTCAAGTTATATGCCGGTGTGATTAATGTTTGGGGATGACAAGTATAATACGATCAATTCACTATAGCTCAAACAAAACCGGAGAGACAGTAAATTAAAGTAAACACGTAATTATGAAAAAAAAAAAAACGTGTAAGGAAGAGATAATCTTCTCATCATAATATTACAAATATTAGAAGTATTTTGTTTTCTTCCGTGTTCAATTTTAAAGTTTTATGAAAACTTTACCAACAAAGCGGACTCGTCAAAACAAGAGGACTCATCAAAACATTGTCACAACCAGTGAATTGTACTCACTTTTTAAATGTAAGGATTAATATATATCGCCTCTAACAGGGCCATTCAGAGACGGTGTGCGGGTACAAAAATGGAGAAGTAAGTGTGAATCTATATATATGGGCATGTTTAGGATTTTAATTCACTTTGTTATTTCATTTTGTTGTTAGAAAGATTGTGTTTATATAGAGAGGAAGTTGCCGTTCGTCGGCGGGTTGTTTCTTTGGGTAATCCGTTCTGTAGCATATATTATATTTTTCTTTATTCTTTCTAGCTGTTTCAATTCGATTAATTGTTGACAATATTTAAGTCAGGAAATGATCTAAACTGTTGGTCGATCGATGGTGTACGTGGTTGTGTTTTCTGAATTTCTGTGAATTAAAAAAAAGGCGGTTCTTTCTAAACACAATACATAATAATCCTTTTTTTACTTTCTGACAATTTCATGTGCATGCATGCTAATCAGTAAAATTAACTTTGAAACAGAAGTTCTTTTTTCACAATTATGACATGCATGAGGTATAGCGCTGCACATTCTTTCATTTCACGTGCCATCCGCCGGTAGACCAGCCGACTTTCCTCGGTGTTCATTGGTCGATATTAATAAGTGGCAGTCTAACACGTGAACATCGAACTGTCCTTGACATTGTCAACAATGTAGAGGCTCGGTGAAATACACATGTACAGTGGTATTCAGCGGAATAACTCAGAAGAAAAGCACATGTGTTTATTTCACACAGAATCCAAAAAGGCATCGTCTTCATTATGTATTTATGAGTCGCTTTTAATCTTTTATGTTATCCGTGGTCTTGTGTTTTTTTAAGTGGAAGTAGTTACATGCAGCTTCTCTCATGAATGTTAGCATGGTTAGGCCTAACCTTATCGTTATTTGATCAAATGGTAAAAAAGGCTTCATCCAAAGTTTTTCTTGAGTGGAACTAATTTTTAAATGGTGGATTATTTTAATGAGAGATCGAGAGTAAGGTACAGGTATGATATGTGCGCAGTTGCATAAATTATTGCCATAAAACAAAGAATAACTCGAACGTTAGATATCATTATCGATATTTGTAGCTAATATCGCTGAGCTGTCGGTAAATGCCAGCAAGCAAAGCTGTCTGTTTTGTGTTTTACGTGCTGGTTTATCAATTTTAATCATGGTTTTTTGTACAGTTGTATTAAGTTTTTGAAGCACAGCTTATCTTTTGAATTGCAGAAAAGATGCTGAGCCTGTTCATCATTTCGCATACCCCCCCCCCCCTTAGAAAATTGACTAGTGACAAACTGACAATAAACTTGTATAAGATTAGAAATTTAAGTAATTTAAAAATGAGCATATTATACAGATGTTCTTGGAATAACATTGATTTTTATGACTGCTTTTCTGGTCATCATGGTCATAAAATTAATAATTTTAATTCACAACATGCTTTCACTGCAGGATCCACAAATTATGCCTTGTCATCTAATATTATGGCTCTAGTATACTCAAGATTTATTAACAATAGTTTTAAAGACATGCTTATTCAATATGATTAAGTACATTACTCTGATCAGATTAAAAGTTTTATTTTAGTCTCACCTTAAATAACCAAGGTTAAACCAGTCATACCATAAGGATTAGCACTCCTTTATTAATTATTACCACATTGAGCAAAATTAGCATTCTATCATCCCAGCTGACATCTTCCAGCTTTTTAAAATTGGTCACTATTGTTGCAGGTTTGTCTGCTTGTTAGATGCTGTCTATTATTTTGAGCAAATCAAACTTTGTTGAATCATAATTAAAACATGACCAGTTGAGCACAGGTCTGTGTATGTAACCTTATTCTTTATTTTCTAATTAATGGTTACAACTATTTCACGATACACATGTAAGCGACCTTGATCCTAAATCTGACCATGGAATACTAATTTGTTCAGTGCTAATGCTACCTGTGTGGAATATGTCATTGGAAAAGAGGTCACACTCGCATCAGCGTTACTGATGGGAATAGCACTAGTGCCTTCTCTATCACTGAAAGTAATGTCAGGACAATTCATTCCTTGCTCAATGCTTCAGAGGACTTTCACACTTTACAGTTTAATGAACGTTCCATACATTAACCTGATTAAATACCTTTACACGGGTAGAACATCAAACATACCTGTTTTATCAAGTTTTTATCAGGAAAAAATCAACAAAGATACATAAACAAGAGTGTTTATTATTTGTGACAGCTTGTTGGATGAGAATCAACACCTGTATGGAAACCGTTGGACTTTCTGAGTGTAAACACGATGAATAGATAGTACATGTATATCATATATAAAGAGTGCAAGGGTTTTGTTTCTCCTAATCTTTATTGGTTCTTTGTTGACTCCTATAGTTGTCTATACCCATATGTGTGGTGGTGCAAGATGGATAATGAACTCATATAGTCTTCAGTAGGTACATTTTTGCTTTTATAATTATAACACAGTCAGTTGAATATGATTGCATTTTCTGATGGAGCAACTGAGGTTCAGAACAGTTGAGATTTTCTTATGGTCAGGGTTATAATGGTTATTGGGAAATTTATTTTGTACATTCTGGTAATGCTTACCGTAAATACCTTTGAATTATTTCAACAAATTCATTAGTAACTGCATGAATATCATCTAAAGCCCCCTAACTCAAACAGAGATGGCATACATGACTGTAAGGCGGGTAGTGTAACATGCTGTAAGCGGTTTTATTCATATCCGTAAATGAGATCAGTTTAGCATCAGTAAAGATGAAGGGTCAGATTATTAATGTTCAGGAAAGGGAAATACTTGGATTGGCTGATAAGCTTATAAACCACTTGTAAATGTCAACTTGATTCAGGCATGCACATTACACCCTCATTTCTGATTTTGAAAAAGTAAAAAATAACTAAAATTTATAACTAATCATATGAAATCTAATTGGATATAACAACAACTGAATGAAAAGAAGTGGGCAATACTGTAATTTTTATTACAAGGCTACCTTTAAAAAGTAGACATTGTGTTGCAATGAGTAATACTACGCAGTTGTTTGCTCCCAATGTCTGGTCTATTTATAGAACAAAAAATAGATAGCATGACCTTGCTGACTAGCATATTTTAAATTGTTTATCTCAGATGTTTTTGTGTTTTTACATTTAAATAATGTCAGCAAATTGTTATGGACTCATTTTATTGAAAAAATTGAGGGATACAGTAGGTAGAAAAAAAATAAAAATGGGGAGGATTCAGTAAGTTATCGAGTCATTGAACTACGATTTAAAATTTAGAACACGTAAACAAAATACACAGTGGTCTATGTTGTAGCTATTCTAGTTTCATACTCTATGCTTTATAAAAGTATTTCAAATCTTTCACAGCTTACAAATATCAGGGACCTACATACTAATATAAAATAGTATATAGGTCCCTGCAATATATATGCTTTTGATATTAATGGATTCTTTTTTTTTTCAGATTTCCAAATGCTAAGAACACTGTCCAACAGTTTTACCTATCAAGAAACCATGCCTGTGGATTATGCAACGTATCTTCTGTCTACAAGCCCACCAGCTTCTATGCTGGAGCAGATATTATCGAGCCACTGTGACAAGTTACCTGCACATGACTCAAATAGAAATGTGTTTTCGTTCTCGGAAACAGCAGCTGAAGTCAAACTAATGGAGAATGAAACTGAAAAGAAACCACCTAAGTCAATAATTCAGCGCTGTAACAGCTACGAAGAAGAAGATGTCGAATCTTCTTCAGGATGTTCATCTGGACGCGAGTCACCCACCCCTCCGTCTCCAAAGGGGAAAAAAAGAGTTTCGTTTGCAGACAATCGAGGGTTTGCTCTCGCAACTGTTAAAATCATGACAGAACCTTCAGATGTACCCCCAAGACTTAAACCCGAAATTCTGGAGTCCATAACACAGGGGGCTACAGCTGGGGTCTGTTCCGGACCTCCTCTTGTCCTCGATTTCAAACAACCAGCCTCAGACTACCTCTCCTTCAGAGACAAATTGGAGAAATATTGTGTTTCGTTGGAAAATGTCATCATTCGAGACTATACAGTCCTTGGAACCGTTAAAGTTAAAAATTTATCTTTTGAAAAGAAAGTGTTTTTGAGATGTACTTTTGATTCTTGGGAGACACACATGGATGTGGATTCTAAGTACGTGCCATATTCTGATACTAACACTGTGTTCGATACATTTTCTTTCGAATTTGAAGTGCCTACAAACTTCGACCAGCAGAAGAAGATGGAATTTGCCGTTTGCTACGAAGCAGATGGAAAGCAGTATTGGGATAACAATGAAGGGAAAAATTACAAAATTTTTTCAGCAGATGCCAAACCTTCTGAAGAGGAGGTCAAACCTTTGAAGCCAATAGATGATATCTCCAAACTTAGAAATGTGGAGTGGACTCAGTTTGCTCCGTGGAACAAAGTGGACACAACGCTTCCGTATTGGTAGCATCTACTGGTAACCCTCATGATTATTCCCATTGCTGTGGTGGTTATAATCCCACAAGTATAAGAAGAACCAGGGACTGATGACATGTCCAAAGAATTCTGATGAAGTTCCTCTTTAACAGAGGTTTAGTCAGTTATGTCAATCTAGAAAACTAGGGGTGTCATCATGAAATGGACACCAAACTCATCAATCAGACATCAGTGACTGTCTAACCAAGGTTGTGCTGGCTGTGATGTGATAGACGCCCATGTCAGAGTGTAACGCTGGCATGAGATTGTACATTATGTGTACAAACATAGAAATCATGTATATATACATTCATTTGTAAATATGCGCAGACAAGATGCATTTTGTAATATATACTTCCTGTGTCACTCGAGTGTTTTCTCATCAGTTTGAAATCAGGTTCATTCAGTTGTTGAGGAATGTTGTTAATTACTATAGTAATATAATTACTGAATACTGGTGTACAGTCTAATTTTCTGTTTATGTTTTGTTTAAGATCTCTTCATATTATTGACTTCAATATGTAATTATTAGAAGAAGCTTGATAGATTTAAGTGGATGGAATTGGAATGCAGTGTTTTCCCTAAGAATCGGCTAACGGCCAAATTGACTGCTTCGATTGATGAAAATGCCACCTAGAAATCAAAATTTGTTGTAAGGTTAACAAAGTTCTGTTCATTAACATCATCCGTCAGCCTGTAACAATCTTTCTTTAACCCTTTACTTTAAAATAAAGGGAAAACACTGGGAATGTAAAAATTGACACAAATATATTGGTGCCACAAAAGATGTACCGGTATGTACAAATTTGATAGTGAAGAATGCTGAAGAAAATCATATTGAAGTCAATACAATTTTAGAAATATTTTATAAGTTATTGCAGTGCAATTTTCTTTTAATTTGCTATTCATTGTAACATGTGCATGTCATTTTTAAATCTTATTTATACTTGCAACTGTACATATGTATTGTATGTCTATATCTGCAGCACAGAGTGCTCCTTGTACAAAATTTGATCAAGGGAACAGGTACTCTTTATCTGTGAAGTATAGGGCATCTCCATTAACCATTCACACAGCCACACCATGGGCATTATCGAGTAGTTTGATGTTACCCACCCCCCATAACAATAAACACAAAGAAAGATAACTCTTACTCTTTCCACAGTTGGAGGACTTGTATGTCATAATATTGATTTTCCTTTAATCAACAAGGTGGAAAACAACCACCTGCAGGTTATGTAGGTTAGTAATAATACTTTGTTGCTTTTATTGTTTTGTTATTAATATTAATTTTTGTTGTCAATTTTGTTTCACGCTTTAACAATCAAATCATTACAATGTTATTTCTAGTACTTGCTTTCAGTGTCATAGTTTTAAGGCATAATTTATATTAACTAATATGTTCAATCCTTGATGTTTAAAATCCATAAAAGCATTACAGTTCATCATTCAGTTTGAAATTTTTATGAAAAAGTTCCATTTTCCTTGATTGAGCTTATTCCAATACAAGAATCGCTCCAGGGGGAGATAACTGGTAATTTATGTAGAATCTCCATCTGTAAATTTTGTCATAATGAAAATCAAGTGTCTTAACTTTTTTTATCTCATCAACGAACCAATTAACGGTTACAAATTGGTAATTATTAATCTAAATAACATTTCATTTCTTAGATTTAGGTAGAATTTTTTTGAAATTATTGATGATTTCAGTGCCATTCTGCATGTTCAGTTTTACATGTATATTATTTTTATGGTACTGACGTTTGCTTTATTATTTTTTTTCTTATAAAGGGGGTTTAAGCGAGTGAAGTTTATGTTACATTTTCTATCCTTATTCATTGTCTGCTTTAAATAAAACCTTGTTACTGTGATAAGATAAAGAACAGCCTGGTCCCCTTTGTAAATAGCTTCCCTTTTGTAAATTAAGCAACATGGTAGACAATTTTTTTCCGTCTGCTATGGTGTACATATACATAATATATATCTGTTGTTGGGTGCTAATCAATACATACCTGGTAATATCTACATGTATACTATTAAATAGAAATAATATATTGTTATCATGTGAGAGAGATTACTCTGCACTTTGTACATGTAGAATGAGTGAAGTTTTGAGTCATATATAAGATCTGTTTTCCTGTAGAGAAAAATCATTGAAAAGCAATAAAAAATATCAAAAACCTGTTCATTTGACATTTGTTTAGCTTGAAAAAAGTATGTCAACATGAGTCAACATGCTTATAATATACCAGGCTTACATCAAGTTAGCCTTACTCTGGGGCCTTCACCATGGATCTTGACCTCTACAATTTTAGAGATGGTTGCATATTTTCAAATTTTTAGCCGAGACCTTGATGTTTGCTTCCATAAAACCGAGATTCTTAATACTCATCTGGATAAGGAACCTAGTGAAAAGTCATGGACTACAAAAACTGTTAAAAGATCCTAATAGTAATAACTGAAGTTTCAGTATAAATGAGTTCTTCACATCTGAGTTTTACTGTAGTATATACTGCACAAAAAAATTCTACAAGACCTTTTTTAAAAGTTAAGACGTTGAAGGTGACATGACCAACTTAGTCGCACCCTATAGCAAGAATGTTTAAAACCTCTTGACATGAATTTTACAATTTTGGTAAAATAAAAGGTCAATTCCCATTTCAATTGTACAAAAAGTTTTTCCACTACAAGAAGGATAGAAATAATATCAAGGATGAAAATTCAAATATGAATAAATTCAGTCAAACGTACCTTGTAACCAGAATGTGAAGACATTCACCTTGCATTTTCTTGTTATTACACTGTAATAACTCTTCTGGCAAAGAGCGAAGTACTTGTATTAGGAAAAGATCATAAAATTACAATTTGGTGTAAAAATCTTTTGTATGTATCTACAAAACTTGGAAACAACAAAATGAGCAAAGAGTGATAACTCTTAAAAACATTATAATATTCCATTGAATGCACTACCTGGATATTAAAAAGCCTCAAATTCTCCTGTAAATCTAATGTGGCTTTATGAAATAAAAAGAGGAATGAATAACGCTAAATTAAGAAGAATGTATAGGGCATCATAAAATGACTGAGAAAGAAATCCCTAGAAAGCAATATCAACAGCTCTAATACACTGTAGCTGTACACAAGGAATTAAAATTATCCTGAGGACTCCGAGAACAGAGTTCCTAGCAACATGGCCAACAATCTTCAGAAAAGTGACAATATTTGATACATATTCCTCAAATAAAATGTTCCGTACAACACATTTATATCGTTCTTATGATGTTGACTTATCCATGTTCATTATCAATCTGACAAGAAGACATACTACAGAAGAGATACATGTAATAACTATATGCCAGCAAATATACACCGTGAAAGAAAACATTTGGGATTTATTGTTCAAGTTGGCTATATTTTCCTATATTCCAACAGTGATAAATGATAACAAATACCCTGCTTAAAAGTCTTTATTTTTGTTAACTTTTATGTACACATCACAAAAATACAGAACATTAGTTTAAGGTGGGGAAAGACAATGACATTCTCCTTGCTATTTTACGTATACACTGTACATATATATAATTCATTCTACTACATGTAAAACTGAACAATTTACACTTTTTTTAACTAACCGTTTCAAAATATATAAAAGTAACAATTTGTTGCAAGTATAACAATACCATTTTACTACAAAATTTCATAAAGTTCACCACCCCATCCCCATTTTTTCTCTTCCAGAATAAACATTTAATTATAGACAAAGTGAACTCTAAACTTTACAAAGAGGTCTCAATTATTGAATATAGCAGTGGAAAGTGTAAGTGGCAAAAGTCTAACATAAAATGATCGACTTCTTTTATTTTCATAAAATCATTTACATTGGTGCAAAAATAAGATAAAATCGTGGGAAACATTTTTGATGGCGTAATGCATGTCTTATGAAGGTGCTATGGTAAGTATTGATGAATCGTTACACAAACACAAAAATCCACTACCTTAAAGCTCTTTTTACACAATATCCTGACTTCTCTTCCTGTAGGGTTAATACAATTACATCAGCACATGAAAATTTACAGACTTGCCAAAGACACAGAATGTGAACAACCATCTACAATAATAAATATCTCTACTAATTATCTCCCCTCCCCCTTCCCTCTCTTTCAGAAAAAAAACTTGGACAAACAATGTTCAAACTTAAGTATAAGAAGAATATATATATATAAAAAAAAAATTGGCAGTTCACAGAGACATAAAATATTCCACAATACTGAAAACTATGATATACTTTATACATGTTGAATACTGCTAAAAGATATTGCTTGGGGTTTTAAAGACAAGTTTCTAATGTAGATGAAATATGAAGGATTGTTATAATTAACTGACTTATAAAAGCATGGAAAAGCTTGAATACCAATTTAAAACAAGAATGTATTCATGAAAAAAGTAAGCTGCACCAATGATGAACAACATTGCACAAAGTAGGAGTTTACAAAGTTTTAAATAATCTGTTCTAGGAGTGAATATTTTCCCTTCAATTTCAATTATTCTTTTTATACCTGTCTAGATACTTTGATTTTGTTTTTACAATATCTGACATCATCTTGGGCAATGCAGACTTTGAAAATAGTTTTCAATTATTCTTTTTATACCTGTCTAGCTAAAGAAAATGGCTTCTCCTCCTTTGAACAAATATTCTACATATAACACCTAATACAAATCATTTTTAAAAATCATCCTTCTTTTTTTTTTCCTGGTTATTCCTTAGATTCTTTTTTTTCCTCTCAAAATTATTTAAATAATAAACTTTTCATTAAAAAAAACTCATAAAACAGGACTAGAAAGGGGGGTTATAGTTGCATGATAAGGATATAGGATTTTTGTTGAATAACTATTAAATTAACAACATTACTACATTTTTTGTACTAATAAAGACTTTTTGATCCCAAAGTAATTATTATTTTTGATGACTACTTTCTACATTTGGACGGCTTGTCACAAGAATGTATAAAATAAATTATGAATAGAAAAATAAAAACAATATCATAATATTTTAACTCATATCTAAGCAAAATAAGAATGCATTTAAAACTATATATGTTATAAAATAACTATTGTGCTCTAAGTACTTTCTACATGTGACTTTTTCTAAGTTAAGCATTTTAAATTTGTGTAGGATTACTTTAATATTAATAATAATATTTAATAGTAAAATTGTATCATACTTCTATTTGCTGCATTGAAAAATATCTATAAACTTGCATTTTTTTCCCCCCAAGTCATGATTAAATTATACATACATGTAGTTAATATGAGGATAAACTAGGAGACATGTAACAATTTACTCTGCACAAAGTTTTGTATGGAATGTCAGGAGACAATATGAACTGTACAAATTACTGGCAAATAACTAATTAATATCAGGCACAATAAACTACAAAACTATGTTAAACATAACAAAGAAAAACAACATACATCTTCCAACATTCGACCTCAATGTTTATTTACTCTGAGATTAAAAAAAAATTTGAATAAAGTTTGAATTGCTCATTCACAATCTTGTTGCATTTGTTCATTGCTTTTTTTCCAAAATATGCTTGGAAAGCAAATTGAATTCAAAACATTAAAAACAAAGGCCACAGTGCTCACCTGTATTCCTTGGTTCTGCTTTCTGCATTTGGGTCCTGCTTCTCTCGGGACAAAAAAATCCCCCAGTCTGACTAAAGTCAGCCCCTACTATTTCACTTCGTTCGAATTAAGTGAAATAGTAGGGGCTGACTTTAGTCAGACTGAAAAATCCCCCTTTTTTAAAATTCCGTTCAAGACGTAATATTGTGGCCAAATCCTAGAAAGCATGGCCCTTCAATTATAAAAATTATATCACCTTATTGAAGGATGGTTTTGGAAAAGTTTGGTTTAAACCGATGCAGGGTTCTTGTGAAGATAAAAATATGAAAAGGTAATTGAAAGACAGACAACAAACAACTCATGATAGAATAATCTCGCTGGACTGTTTTGTTCAGGTGAAGAAAAAACTACTCTGTGTTAGTAATGAGGAAAGACATATAGGTTTCTTTTAAAGATATTGAACACTCGCATACCTTCACATAATACTGGGTGTTTCACAAGACAGGGTTTAAAATATTCACTTCCATATAGGTAATGCCACAAGCAGTACATACTACATTTACATATTTTACATCTTCATATTTTCAATAGGTCTGAATTTGCAGGGGTTATTTCCCATCCGACACCATACTGGAAGTCAAACAAGCAAATTTTCCTCTTTGGGCAACCGATTTTAAACTTGGCAGAAATATAATGGCAAAAAATCATTAAATTCTAAAATTATGAATTACAGGAAGCTTGTGTTAACATAAATTCATAAGAAAAATTATGTTATCTTCACCCAGTTGCCCACTATGACAAGTATAAATTTGTTTAATGATGAAGGAATTCTTTAATACTTGCATGCCTCCAATATGGCAACCAAAGGGAAATAACTCTTGCTAAAATCGTGTCTATGGAAAATTAATTATCCATACATGTTTTTATCATCTACAACTAAAATAAACATGATTTTAGGAGGGAAACAGAACAGGACAATAGAAAACACTTAGAAAACACACTGAACAATAACACGGATATTAACAATGCTGTACATTGACTTTACATATTATATTTGCATAAAACTGCAGAATTGCCACAACAATTAAGAAAGAGAGAATCATATATAGTGATAAAAGATGACCTTTTCTCTTTTAAATTTCAAATAAATTTGTTTAGACAGTAACATTACAAGCTAATGATGAGGGTTTTCAAACAACTTTTCTTTTTAGATATCTTTAACCTATTGTATTCTATCAACTCTGGTCATTGCTGAAACTGTAAAACAAATTATTATGACATTACTAACAGTGAAATAATATACAAATGAAAAGATAAAGGACGTAACTATCAAGTGATGTCTGTCTTGAAAAGAAAAATGCAAACAAATAAGTGTTACAAAAAGCAAACCACCTTGTGTCTCTTTTTATAAATTACAAGTACAAAATGAGTAACATTCCTTGAAAGTTCACTTGGAAAAAAAAGTTAATACACGTACATATCTTTTTTTTAACAAATGCATGATATGCCTTTATACAGAAAACTGACATAATGAGCTCAGTCTATAAACAACAATAATTTAAGTATCTTTACTTCAAACCATTGATCAGTCAAACAAGTAAGTATTGAAAAGCGCCATTAAAACATAACAATATTCCTCAATACTGGAAATAACAATACACTGTCTACATTTTCAAATTTTTTTTTTTTTCGGAACAAGAAAATATCAAAGAGAAGAAAGAGAAATAGCAGCAGAACCTCTGTGTTCATCCTCTGACAATGGAGAACAGAATCTGTGTCATGAAGACTCTTGATCTTTGTCACCAGTTTTACAGGTGGTTGTTATTAAGGGGGTGTGTTCATGCTGTTCTGGGTGACCTTCATTGTCTGATTTTGCATCCTCCCATCCTATACTATCACCGCTGTCACCTGAGCTGACCTTCGGCTCCAGACACTGATGGGCTAAATCGTTCTCATTCGGCTCTGTAGCGGATCGCTCTCTAGTCTCAATCTTACCGTGGTCTCCAGACATGTTGTGGATGACGATGCCTCCATCCGTTGAATTGTGGACTCTCCATTCACCTGAGTCGGTTCTGGTTTGTATCTGGTTGGTGAACGGAACCGACAAACTCGAAGCCCTCCTCATTTTATCAGGATTACGACTGCCGTTAAGATGGTGGTTGTCATTATTAGATAGGTTAGATAATATTTTTGCTTTGTGCCACTCTTTGGCAAAGGCTTCATCCTCACTCTTGACATTGGTTTTGCCCATCATGGTTGCCCTTCTAGCTGCAATGTACTCGGCACGTCGTACCCTAACAAACAGTAGGTTTGATTCTACCCTGACTGAGAAATCTGGTATGTAGGGCTCTAACTTACTATACAGGCTCTCAGTACTGCTAGGATAAATCAGAGAGTTGTCAGTAATCTCTGAAAAATGCAAAAAAAATTAGATTGATTACTTAATTGTCAATAATTCATATAATAATAATAATGTTTTAAATTTGCCCAAATGAGGGTAGGGCGAAAGGGGCGAAAATAAAATGGGGGCGAAAATTTCCCTGCATACAGTAAATCATTTGGTAATAACCTATAATTCTGAAATACTCCGCAAAACAGAAAAGCACCATTTGACATTTGGTCATTTATGATGAAAAAAAATAATTATAAATTGAAAGATAATTATGAATTTTGGAAATGCTTCCATGAAATACATTTTATACTATATGTATATAAATTCTTTAGACAGATATTCCTATAACAATATACATACTCAATGCCTGACTGCCATAATAAGAGAATGGTCCAGTGAAAAACCGCAATCCTTCCTTACCAACCGTCACCTCAACGTTACCTACAAAAACAATCAACATTGATTTACCTGCATATCATAAACAATCAACATTGATTTACCTGCATATCATAAACAATCAACATTAATTTACCTGCATATCATAAACAATCAACATTTATTTACCTGCATATCAAATAGAATCTATGTTACCTGCATATCATAAACAATCAACATTACTTGGTATCATAATTTCAGAACATTTGATAAATGTCAATCTAACCTGTAAATCTGTACTTAGCTTACTGTACTCTATTGATGAGGAAGTTAATTAAGCATTGAATTCATATTTTGGGATGTCTTCGGTCCTACATGTATAACACACCTGGCCGTGCCAACAAATTGAATACCGTGCATTAGCGCAGTATGATAATTTGTCGGCCCGGCCAGGTGTGTTATAGGATCAAAGACATCCCAAAATATGACTTCAATACTTATATTTACATTCTTTAATTTTTCCTCTTCATAATTGTTTATTTCTGTTATCTTTCATGTGAATTTAGTGCCCTTCAAAACTGGTGTGCTTTATAGACGTAAGAGATGTTTGTGACGTTTGTGACGTCTTGAAATTAAATAACGCAAACGAACATTGCGAGGAAAAAAAGGGACATATTAATTTTAAATCCACATTTGTTGTATTGTTAGGTTAATTCAACAGGGATAATTTTTATTAATTAAATTGTGTCAAACAATGTACATTTTGGTGTTCATAAAGTATTGAAAAGGCATACCGGTATAGTTCCTACAGTATATTCTAACGCGCGGTGACAAGGTTTCGCGTGTGTTATAGAGATTTGAACATCGTGGATTACTTATGGATTTCGCAAAGAAAATTACACTAAATGTATATATTTTTATTTTAATATGTGTACAGGTTCTTTGATAGAGAACTATAGGAAAAACCCCTACATAAACAAACACATGGGCGCAGACATTTTGGACACCCAAGGTTGTGCGGAGGAGAAAATGCTACCTGGCGCGTGATTGGTCAATAAGAGAAAAGACTTGTTATGTATTTGACAAGTGAAATAAAGTTGATAAAAATCTCATATCAAGACTTGGGTTTCTTTGAGATATATAGGAGTTACAGGTAAAAATTTGAAGGGAGGGGTGCCCTTTGGTTAGAGATTTTCATTTGGTGTCAAACGCACCTTGTTGTAAACAAATGGAAATTGAAAGTAAAAGTGCCGCGTGACGGTATATTTTTTCTGGCATGTTTTGTTTTCCAATATCTCGAACTTTCACGACAAAAAGGCCATTTGCCCGAAATTCAATATATGTATGAGTGACAGGGGCTGAAGTTTGTATGGAAGTCTATGGGAAAACATTTAGTGGTGTTTGTCCTATAGAATAGGTATGTATTTCATGGAAAAACATTGATTACAGTCACAAAATCAATCAGTTCCTATCTTTTTGGCATTGAGATCATATTTTAGTTAATTTTTACTATTTTTTAAAAAATTAGAGGGTTTGGGTAAATTGAGGCTCACAATGGGGACTGCACATGGTGAAAAAATGCCAAAATTTTTGCCCTAGCTCTCATATTTTCAATAAATGTACATGTAAATAATTTTAAATAAATATTTATGCTGAAATTTACTGTGAATATTGTAAATAATACAATATTGAGGTTTATGGGCATCATCAATACACAAAACATATGAATATCCCCCTCGCAGTTTGAGAAATTCATTTAAATCCATGTATTTTATGAGTGAAGACATTGGAACAGATTGACTAATCCTCTTTCAAATTTGTGTAAATCAGAGTTGATTGAATAATTTATAACAAAATTAGACTGCTGTTAAGTAATTAGGTTACTTTGTTTTTATATAAGGGGCCTAATCCAGCAACAAAGGCAGTTCCAGTCATGTAATCAGTGCTGGCTTGATATAAAAGTTATACTTTGGGGAAAACATTAGAGATGACTAGTAGGAAATTTAATTTAAATTACTGTAAAATATATTTTAGCAGAAAATACATTGAAAATACAAGAAATTTGCAAAATTATTATTGCAAAAATTATGAAAAAGTGCCTGAATATCCTTCCTCCTTGCCATATCCAATCTTGATATTCTGCAGAAAAGAGGGGGGGGGTGTAATTTTGGACTCTAATGATGCTGGAAAATGAAGGAATTTTTTTAAAATGTGGTTTATTTGAACAACAAGAGTCGTGCTTATCTGCAGTTATTTTTTTCAATTTCTTAGATATTTTTTAAAATAATTATCTGAGTAAATTCTATTTAAACATGATTATTTTAAAGCTATTTCATCACTAATGCTTATAAAAAATTCAAAAGATGATGTAAATAATAAAAAATTATAATATAAGCTACTACATGCATTTATCAGTATGTTTTAATAAAATAAAATATATTTCAGCAATGTATTCTCAAGAAGGAAGAGATTAATGAACCCTCCCCTCTTACAATGAACAACACATGGACACTCTCAGGATGGTCCCTTTGCTTTCATTAAGAGTTCCAAGGTATGGTTTTCCTAGCCAATCAAGTTAATCTATGAATATTTAAGTTATTTAGAACTTTTTATAGATTATTAGAAAATAAATTTCTTCAGAACTGCAGTTATTTAAGCACTTTGCTTACAATTGAGCACTGTATTCAATAAGACAATATGATTTATCTGCCCTTGGCATTTAATCAATTTATTAATTATGTCAATAATAAGAAATGATATGCAAATGAATATCTTTGCCTTTCATGAGAATATACATATTTAACATCCATTACATAAAATGTTCATGAAAATTGGCTAAAATGTAGGTCACCCCCTTCAAAATTACAAAATTCTCAGTGGGGACGTATTTGATTCTCTGATGCCAGCAACCCATTGCCAATGAAATTCTTTTTAATATTATGTGCATTGAAACTACATATAATTCTCTTTCTTTCCATTGATTATTTTATCTACATTAGTTTTCGCTCTTTCCATAACTCAGCATTTTCTTACAAAAACCTGCTGATTTTCTTCATTTTTCATTAATAACGGGTACCTGCTACCCTGAATGATTAACATGATCTATCTTGAGAGATTATGAGAGATAATAAGAAAAACAAGCAAAACATATGCTAGATTAATCATTTTATTTGAAAAGTTTGAAAGAAAAATAGAAAATTGCTTCAATTTCTAGACATCTTTTCTGTTTCACAGATGTGTGTCTGATTGACTGGGGTGTGAAATGTAACAGCCAATGGTGTACCTAAGCTAAGACTGTCAGTCCCAATATTCAAGAGGTGAGATAAGCAATGGATATGTGTTCTAAAAATACTAAATTGACCACTTTTTATAAATGTTTCTTTTACTCTATAGGAAAAACCCCTACATAAACAAACACATGGGCGCAGACATTTTGGACACCCAAGGTTGTGCGGAGGAGAAAATGCTACCTGGCGCGTGATTGGTCAATAAGAGAAAAGACTTGTTATGTATTTGACAAGTGAAATAAAGTTGATAAAAATCTCATATCAAGACTTGGGTTTCTTTGAGATATATAGGAGTTACAGGTAAAAATTTGAAGGGAGGGGTGCCCTTTGGTTAGAGATTTTCATTTGGTGTCAAACGCACCTTGTTGTAAACAAATGGAAATTGAAAGTAAAAGTGCCGCGTGACGGTATATTTTTTCTGGCATGTTTTGTTTTCCAATATCTCGAACTTTCACGACAAAAAGGCCATTTGCCCGAAATTCAATATATGTATGAGTGACAGGGGCTGAAGTTTGTATGGAAGTCTATGGGAAAACATTTAGTGGTGTTTGTCCATAATACTGAACCTTAAAATACAACCAAAGGTAAAGAAATAGATGACTTCCTTTTTTTCTCTAATACAAGTCAAAGAAAGATAACTCCACAATCCTACCTTGCAGAATCAGTATGAAGTAATCACAGGGCACATTCTCCCTGAAGAGGTATTGATCAGAGTTTTCTTTCTTGACAATCTCTTCCACAACATTCTGGCGAATCAGTTTCTTCAGCACATTCTCTGACACAAATTCTTCTTTGAACAGATCAACAGCTGAAATACATGCATCACAAAATAAAACTAGAGACCCATGGACAACATTGCTTCATACACTCACTTGAGTCACCTTGCCCCTGCATGCTCTTCATAAGCCAAATTTTCCCAGTGTACATGGTGTATATTCCTAAGTATAATTTTGATTCTCATTTATTGCCCAACCCTACTCCTGGGGGTTGAAGATTTAAAACAAACTTTAATCTATACACATGTACTACATACATACTTTCAAATCTATGACTTATCATGCAATTGCTGCACTTGAGAAGAAGATTTTTAGAAAGTTTCTTAATTTCCTTTCTATTCCTGTGTAAAACTTTGTTTGTCCATTGTGGCCCAACCCTGCCCCCTTGCATTCTGATTTGAATATATTTTAATGTCAAGAACCTTTCAAATAAATTTTAACACTTCTGGTCCAGTGGTTCAGAAGAGAGAGATTTTAAAAGACCTTTCCTTTTATATCATATAGACTCTAGTATAGTTCTTTTCAAGTGGTTCAAAAAAGGTTTTTGAAAGATATCACAAACTTATTAAATTTTAATGAACTTTTTAATTATCTCCCCCTAAAGGTGGCCAAAGCCCTTACTTGAAGAATTTTGAATCCAGTTGATCTATTGGGTTGAAATTGTGAGAAGTTATAGTGGCCAGACAAAATATGATCAGAATAGCTCACCTGAATTCTCAGCTCAGGTGAGCTAAAAATCAATGTACATATTTGTTATTTTTAAGGTTTTCTTTTTCTTTTGTTTTAAATATCAATTTGCTTGCAAAGAAATCTATAAATGCAAAGTAACTCTTAATGCAGATCTACAGTTATTACAGAGGTAAGATCTGATTTTCAAACTTTTAAATTTTCCTGCACTCACACGTTGACAAGAAGCGGAATGCGGCCAGAGCCAGCTGTGGGGAGATAAGTATAGAAGTGGTCTCCGACGTGTTGAACATACTGAAGTCCTGCTTAGCCAAGGTGCGTCGAGTCTTCTTCCTGTTGTCAACTATAAGACAACAAATTATATTATTATTTAATCGATGAAAATTTGCAAAAATTATTTGTTAATACAATTACATATATGTATATTTGATATCTCACTGAGCAAGCTAAGTCTGTGCTCAGAATGGCCATAAGTTTTTAAGTTTACATGTATGTCAATTTTTCTGAACTGACCCTTACGATTTTGTTTCCTCCTTTCAATTTTAATTAACTTTACAAAAATTAAAATGTCCAAAACCAATGTTCCTTATGTGCAATTGATTCTTAACTCCCAATGCATGCCAAAATCTATGCCGATATTTTTTTTTTGTTGATATTAAACATTCCTGCATCAAAGCAGCAACACATTGAATAATGAGTCATCGCTATTCATATTTTTTCTTCCAGTAATAAAATGCGTATCCCCATTGATTTCAAGTGAACATGAAGAGGTTGCTATTGGAATCGATTCTCTGCCAGACGCCAGCCAGGTATTGATCAATCACACATCGGACAATAGTATCCACTCATTAAAATACAAATATAGGCTATCAATTTAATATCAAACTCTGTCATAATATGGGGAGCTTAATGATGTCAAAAAACCTTATTATAGAAAACACTGTTAATGCTAACAGCCGAGAAGAGAATGTAACCCTTTACTTTACTTCTGTAACACTTCTGCTGAGGCAGTTCGTTTCTGCAGAAGCAATGATTCAAAAGAAGTAATTACTTACAAAACCTGCCAAGAAACTTATCCATAACAATCCTAATGGGACTTAATTAGTATCAACCATAAAGTACAAAATAAATGAGATACCTCTCTAATGTGTTAGCATTGACCTAGCATTTATTTCAATTACAGTGATGAAGTACTGTATACCCCTTATTTTTAATATGACTATATTTCTGCATGGAAAGGCAATATAGCATTGCAATTATTCACAAAGCTTGATTTTAGTATATTCATTAAAGAAAATGTTCTTATTGTTGAAGTTTTTTCCTAATTAAGACAATATCCTGATCTTTAGAATTAATTAGAATAAATCAGATTTCTCTTATTTTGATGAAGGCGTGTTGCTCTGAAAAATATGCAAAATAAGTAATTTTGCAGATACAAAAGGTCAGCCCTGACAGATTCTGTGTGTAAACAGCTCTGTGATATTGTCTGCTGTCTTCAAGGCATTTCTTTACATAATGTGTAGTATGCATACAGTATCTGAGACTCTAGTAATGTGACACTGAATTGAGTCAACTGACTCAGTTAACAAGAGTACGCATCTTTTTCTCCAGTTTATTTTTTAATTATAGTGATAAAACTGAAGTCTTAAAATATGTAAGAAAAATTCCTATTTTTAGTGTTATAAAGCCTTAAACTTATAATCCGAGATTCCTCTGACTCTATAACCCCTGCTTTTACATTGTGACTTGTGCAGGGGAGACCCTGCACAAGTCACAATGTAAAAGCAGGGGTTAGAGTCGGAGGAATCTCGGATTAAAACTTATGGAAACAACTGCATCATGTTAGTTTTAGGGCATGATCAAGCTACTTGCAGTAATAACAGTTGAAATTCAGCAGTAATCAGTATCTCAAACATCAATATCTCGAATATTATGGATATAAGTTGAAGTGATGTGGAGTTCTAAATACTTATTATTTTAAAAGTATTTTATTCAAGTATTTTACCCTCCAGTTATCTTGAATCCTCAGATTTCTTGAACCTTGAGTTTTTCTTGAACTACACTGTATATTTGTACAATAACATGTATGTTTTATTGAAAAAAAAATGCAACTGATTAATAATACAATATATATGTAGAGGGCGGGGAGTTTAGCTGATGGTCTACATACTTTCCCTGTGAATAACTTTACATAATTTTTCTAATAAAACTTAAGCCTCCATGGTAAAAAAATTATATATCTTCCTGCTCATTAATTTCATAACATAGGTGACACCAATGACATTTGTTGCTTTATACAACCAAGAAAATTGTTAATGGCCTAATGAAAAGAAAAAAATATATATTACGTCAAGTCTTGTACAATCTTGATGTAAAGAAGATTGAACTATCACCATTTATTCACCAAACACATTCTGAGAGAACTGCATATAGCATTATGATCTTTGCCAGCCAAATGTGACGATCCACTCCTCTTTTTATTCACAGAAAGAGAAGAGAAGAAAATTATAAAACCTGGCTAGCAAAGATGACAGCATGTGTAGTCTCTAATAAATTAAAAAGGCTGTAATTCGATCAAAGATTAGTGAAGCAGACGGAAATGCAAGTTTACTCTGTTACTCATTGATCAATGTTTTATCACATACCAAAATATAGGGGCAATACTCCCTTGGATTTAGAAAAAAAGTGCAAAATTCAAGTGGGATACAGACACAGAGGGGACCTCCAGCCTCCTCCAATTACACTTGTAGGGACTATTATATGTCAAATTTGTATTTAGATTAAAGATTTTATATTAAAAAGAAAAATGTATCGTGACACTTTTACAATATATTCATATTCATTTTTCCCCAAATGATTAAAGCATTTTAGTTATTTTTACCATGTATACAGGTCTCTTATCTAAGTGTTCCTTATTGATTTGTAACTAACTTTGTTTTCTTGTTAGAAAATAAATTGGAAAGTTCAGCGCTCTTTCTGACCAATGTCTAACTGCTTATTCAGCACAAGTCCTGATGTGAAATCAATGAGATCCACCTTTCTGATCCAGGAGCTTTTTCCCCAATGCTGAGGATGGGTTTTAAAAGCTAGAGAATAATTGAGCTAATGACACCATGGTGTATCCCATTAAAGAATCCATCTAACCATGGTCTGAAATATACATGTACCAAGCACCTAAACTCTCTGTCTGTCACAAGGCGTTGTTCAAACTATCACATGTTCATGCAAACATAATTTCTAACTGATTTTCCCCTGACCTTTTTTTAATGCAAAAATATGTATGTCTCTGTACCACTATTATCAAATTTCTGTTGAAAAGTAATGAGTAATATCGAAAGCATATCAGATACAATCTAGTATGGTACTAGATGCCAGCCTATTTTAATATCTTACAGAATGATATTCACAGTTTACAAACTTAACAGTAGAAGTTCAAATATAAGCAGTACTTTTTTAATCATAGAAAAAGAGACCCTAAAATCTTTTTAAATAGGATTAATTTATCTCCTATGATCTCTCAATATAATACTTAACATCTACTGAAATTCTTATGGGAAAAAAAACTTTGTGATATCTAAGGATTATAGACATTCGGGATAAATTACTTAAATTCAGTTAGTGGTTTGAACTTCCAAATCATTTCAACATTTCCATGGTATTAGATATATCAGAATTGGAGATACTGAAGTTCATGTACATGTCTGACTGTTTACTTTTTATACTATTTATCTCCTCAATATTATGATAAATGATTTCTCATATAAAGCAACTAAACTGCTCATTGTCATAAGTTAAAATTACTTTTCAAAAATTCTAGTCTTTTCATTGGTTCTTACTTATGATTTCTGCTTCATCTATGATCTCATTTCTTTCTAGTGTTTTGAATTTTGATTGGTTCTTACTTATGATATCTGTTTCATCTATGATCTCTGATTGGATGATTTCCTCGATGACATCCTCTAGAGTTAAGACACCCAGGGTTTCATAGTAAGGGTCTCCATCTCCTTCATTATTAACTCTCCTCACTATTGCCATGTGGGAGTGACCTGTGACAAAAAAGAACACATCATTTATAGTTATACATCTATTTCCAGTTCACTTTATACTCTGGCAGTTTTGACAATTCGCACTACTTTAAACTGCTTTAAATGTAAAAATAATAGAGAGATTTAGCAAACCAACGTGTACGCGTACGTGTACGTGTATCACCAGAAATCTGTGCATTACGTCATCACTTTTGCTAATGACGATTTTCTACACGTATCCTCTTACACAGGTTACGTGTAGATTGCAAAGTACACGTAAGTCTAAACTTGTAGCTTATAAATCTTGAACTGATGTTTATTTTTCAAAAAGTGTGCTATTTTCTAAAACCTGAATATTTAATGCAAATGCTGATCAAAAGAACTGATCTAACTGAAAAATAAAATTTATAGGGAGTTAAAATCACAACATCTAGATTTTCGAAACGTGCTTTGACCGATTAAAAATATAAGAGTTCTGTACCATCTTCTTCTCATAAGTACATGCATATATTCATGTAAAAAGGTGACATACGTATAAAAATTATTGCTTTTTTGGATGATTTTTAAATGTAAACCACTTTAACATTTAAAATGCTTACAAGTACAAGTACAGGTTATACTTTGCTAATCAGGAAAAAATTGTTAACGTGTACGTGTAATTCTAACTTGTAGTTTACACGTACAGGTACACGTACAAGTGAGCTTGCTAAACCTCTCTATTAACTAGCTAGCTGCTACATGTAGATCCTTAAAATTTTGATTATTTTTTTCTTCCTCTTGACATCATACATGATTTACTTGTCTAGAATAATATTCATAATCATATGACCTCAATCACCTCATAGAGGATCTCGAATCCCATAAATCAATGACATAGAAAAGCATATAAAAGCACAAACCATACAAAAAGAGAAATCAAATCTAAATTAAAGAAAAGACTAAAACTAAAATTAAGTTTCTAAACTATCGCTGCTGCCTTGTTTACTGGTTTGGAGAGGAAAGTAGGAATCTACGTCACCAAGGACACTGTCAATAGTTAGTGATTAATGAGTATATATAAAATGTGACACATCAAGTGCTTCAAAGATATTATAATAAGACAAGAGGATACATCAAGATAGGTTTAACTATATTCAAGTAGGAGATAGGTCATATCTAAGAATACAAAGTATAATGAGACACTAATTTATAAATTACATGTACAACCCTGCATTGTGCAATAGGGCAAAGTGAACATGGAATATCAAATACAGGAAGTGCCTGCTATACTTTTGAAATTTGTACTTATATTGATCAACATGTACAATCTTATAATCAAAATGTATTCATTACATAATTAAAATCATACACTGTAATGAGGCTATATAAATAATTGATGCACCTTAATTTACTGGGAGAATGACCTAACTCTGTTTCCTACAAAACAAGCAATGTGGAGTTGTTATTTTTCAAATGTTTTAGGACAAGTATAGACAATGACTATTCTTGAAGTACTTGAAATTAAGTCTTTTTGTATTTTGGCACACTTTGCTTGCTTGCATAACCATGATTACAATTAAGTCTTATTTTTTACTGAGAATAGTAAGCAAGAACAAGTACATATACTGCTGTACATGTATCAATATGAATTATAGATGTACAGATTGTGCAAGCCACTACACTATCAAGTAAATAACAAAAATCCCTAAGACTATTATTAATATTAACTATATAAATCTAAATGTTTGTAAATTGTTGATATTTTTGGTAATAAAAAGTGATGTGTTTAGACCCTTATATTTTTTGCAGTGATCATGGTGATAATGCAAAGATTTTCCTGTCAACAGCACAAATCAAACTTGCAAATATTTTGCAGAACAGACAATTTTTACTGAATATTAAATGAGTATTTTATGTCCTACTGGTAGAATTCAACTTCAAGATGAAGTCAACAAGTTTTGTTTTCTAGCTAATCATATGATGTGTTTTAGGAATCAAAATTGACATGCATGATTTCCTTTATCATGTCGATATAAATACTGTCAAACTAAATACTGCAATAATCATGATACATGAAATATAATTGATGTGTTACATAACAAAATCACATGCTACAAATTTACTACTAGTACTAGCGAAATCATTATATAAAACTACAACAGTTTTACACTGCATAAAAATTAAATTGTAGGTGTATCACTATATTCAGTATGAGTATATCAATATTTATGAGAATGAATTCAAATAATTATATGTCCACTACAACACAGAAGGGAAATAATTAATATTTATAAGCATGAAACATGGTAATTGACAGTGTAAAATTTTGCTGTTAAATGTACAGTTATGTAAAATAAATATAGAGAACACAAATTTAATGCGGCGTATGTTTGACTTTACACATTACACAGTCAGTTACAGAATAAAAAGTTATGTTTAGCATGACATGTTGAAAAATGACCCTCCAACTCTCAGTAATTAATACACTCCCTTTGCATAAATTAAGCAGACAAATATGTTGAAGCTAAATATTAATTAATTCAAAACCAAGTGTAAACATGGTAAAAACTGAAATTCAACATATTCTAAAAGCTCACACACATATTGCATTCTCACATATTATACAAGAGAATGCACTTTCACTTATAATTTTCTCAAGGCTTGCAAATCTTAGACATTCAATTTGCAAAGTGATTTTTTTTGTAAAATGGTGTAATTTATAATATTTTAGTGAAAGGAATAATGTTATTTAAATTTACCTTGACGGAACTCCTGCAACATGGTGTCAAGTTTCTGATCATCAAACACGAAAATGAGGGGATGCTGATAAAATTTGATCACAGTTCGTATTGGTGTCCTGTCATCAGGATCAATCAATGCCAAGTCCTTGATGTTAAGAAGGGCTACTATGTTGCCTTGCTCACCCTCATAAATAGGGATACGTGTATACCCACGTTTCATGATTTCTGACACAGTTTCAAAGTCTAATATGCTATTGATGTCAAGCATGAAAACATCTTCAATCTTCGTCATAACCTCTGTGACAGACTTTTTTGACAAGTCTAATGCCCCTGATATGATATTAACTTCATCATTCTTAAGATCATTGAACTCTTTTGTCACTTTCACTAACTCTGATAGCTTTGCTCTGTCATACACATTTCCGATTTCCTCCCCAAGGATTTTGTCTAATAACAAACTTATTGGAAAAGAAAGAGGAAAGGTCAGTAACATGAAAAGTCTTGTAATCCAAATGGTCCGAGCTCCTACAGCTAGCCCATGTCTAGAACATATGGCTTGAGGTATAATTTCACCACATATTACAATGCCCAAGGTTGCACCAATAACAGCATACAAACCATTAGATAGGTCATCTAACAATATAGTTAGAGAGTTGTTGACAAGCACATTTCCCAACAAAAGTGTACATAGAAGGAAATTTCCTCTCTTACGCACGGGTTCAATAGCTTTTGCATACTTTTTCTCTGAACTTGATCCACATTTAGCGATAAGCTTCAGTTCAGTTTTATCCAATGCCATTAAACCTAAATTTAATCCACTGAATAAGCCTGAAAGTATTAACAAGAAGCAAATAAATATAATTTGTAGCCATAGAGGGAGAAGTGTAGTCTCCTTGTCCTTGACAGCAAAGCGAGTCAACGTTTCCTTGCCTCCATGTTCCCACTTCTCTACCCCCTCCATGGAATAACATACGTGGTAATACTTTCCATTTTCTGGAAGAGGTAAATTAACCACAACCGTTGCCAACGTTCCATTTTGTGCAATAGAAAGTATTGCAAATGTCTGCGATCTCTGACCATCACACGTTTCCCTCTGCAAACGGACGTCAGTCGTGAAAGCTATTCTGCTGGTGTTGGCAAAGTTGCTCCCGACTAACACGATTCGCTGGTTTATCCCGGCGGTCAAAACAAGCGTCCCAGTCTCATCTCTGGTACTGACCGCCTCCTGGGACAAAATCGCAGATAACTGTGGCAGATCTACACCGAAAACATCCGTAAAATTTAACAAGAAAATAAACTTGAAGAAAAACCTGACATATCGAGGAGCCATCTTATTATAACAGGAAGTTGTGTAAAAGAGAAACCCGTTATCGATAGTGACTTCCTAGTCCCGGATTATTGCTCCTTTTTTCAAGGAATTTAAAAAAAAAATCTAGATGTAAAATTGAAGTCTCACAACCAAAGCTAAATATAATAAAAAAAATTCTTACGGTAAATGTTAAAATGGTATTGATTTTAAAGATGCACGCCCATTTCTCTGCAAAGAAAGATAAATAACTCTTGAAATAACAGTTGAACCATTCATTATGTCTATGATGTCAGATATGATGCTTACAGTGTTATAAATTAAACAGACACAAGCGAATACTTGTGAGTATGTATGAGAAAAAAATACCATTCACATTTTTATGGAATTCCATATACGACAGCCAACTGCTTACTACCAACTGTTGAAACTACCAAAGTTCTGTCAGCTGCTTACTACCATCTGCTGCTGGTTTTAGATGTCATTGCGTGTGTTTATTATCTTTTTATTTTTAATACGCATGCTTAAATAAACCACAATACCAAGGATGTTACACTAATTACAAAACATTGAAGTTTGATCTACTTTAAAAAAGAAATAAACGTATTGAATTGACCGTAACTTTTGAATGAAAAGAGAAAGGACTTTCATTTTAAAGATGTGTAATACCTGTGACAATTAAGACCTTTCTGAATAAACTATGATCTTTGACCTCGTGGCCTTGACCTTGAGGTTTGACCTACTTTTAAAAAACGTTAACCTTGTTCATATCTTTTGAATGAAGACATAGGGCTTTCATATTAAAAATGTGCATTACCTGTAACAAGACCTTTCTAAAAACACCTTGATTTTTGATCCCATGACCTTGACCTTTGACGTTTGACCTACTTTCTTTATAACTTCAACATTGCTCGTATCTTTTGAATGAGAAGAAATAAATTTTGATTCTTGATCTTGTGACCTTGTCCTTAAAGTTTGACCTACTTTTTAAAAATACTAATTTCTCCTTATAACTTT